ACATCAAGTTGCCATGGGGCAATTAGCTTGCCTCCTGAAATCAATAAAAAATCAACAATTTGGAAATAGTTGTACAGTAAAATAGTTCAATAATTATTCTCTCATAGTGTTGTGGCCAAGTGGTTCCAGTGTAAATGCAGTCCAGATGAGATCCTGCTCCTTATGAGGGAAGCTTTAAGCAAATCGGTGGTTTGCACAGAGATCTCCCCATCAGAACGGACTGCAACAATAATGTACTCCTGGCTCTGTCTTAGAGTGGGGCCCAGGGCATGGGGCAAACACAGCCTTGAAGTGGGTGTTCAAGTCAGCGTCTGGCATACTGATTAAGCACCCGAGAGAGACTCAATTCAAAATGTAGAGACCTAAATGAAATGATAAACCCAACAACAATAAAAACACTGGGTGCCCTGCACTCAGCATATGGACTCCAGACAAGAGCAATTTTCCTTTGGATATATCGGAAAAATATATATGTATATGTGTGTGTATACATACATGTTATGCACACACATATAGTATATGTTAATATATTATTAGTGTGTATAGTATATAAAGGGTGTTTGGAGACTAGGAATTCATTCATCCCAGCATTTCAACAAATATTCAACTCTGTGTTGCTTATAAGAAATCTTCACAGTGGTCCCCTAAAGAGTAAAAATGAGGCTGTTTAACAGATAACCCTCATAGGACATTTTGCTAAAAAGGAGGCACCAACACAGAGATATTTCTTTGCTGCCCCCCACTGCAGAGGGAAATCTATTCCTTTCGCTTTTTCTAGCTTGAGCCCATTCACCTCACCACCTTATTCGAAGCCAATTGCAGCATCACAAACTCCAATATCCATCAAATCAAACCTCAAATACCAGCTTGCGAAGCTTTATATCACCCTCTAGGCTCAGTAGTGTTGTACAATGAACTGTCTTAGAACTTAAAAAAAAAATCAAGTATCATTTTTAGTATAAACAAATGCTTCAAATGTATGACATCTATTTGCTGCCTTCAAAGGGAAAACTTTTAACTCAGACGCTTGGCACTAAGATCACACGGGATCAAGTCAGTGGACTGACTTGAGTGTTAAACTTTTTTAAAGTACGTTAAGGGCTTGCACCTGCTCCCCCATCCACATAGATGTACTGACACGTATTTGACTAAACTGACTGCGTACATGCCCAAGCAAGCAAGCAGAGCAGATTTTACAAGATAAGCAACCAAGTGTTTTCATGTCTGAGGGTGGCTAGAACACAAAATTGCCAGTCATCTTGTGGGGGAAAAGAATGCCTTTGAAAAAAAATATGTAGAACATCATTTCAGATATGGTGAATTGGATTCAAATACCATCCTGTATACAGGTTCCTTTTTTTTCCTTTAAGGGTTACTTCTTAGAGAGGGGCCTAAACTCAGTTCAACTTTCTGCTGTTGTGACACAGAAAGAATTATCAGAGCCTTGCTACGCAAAGTGTAGTCCATGGGCCAGAGGTAACAGCTTCACCTGCGAGCGTCTCAGAAGTTCAGACTCTCAGGCCCCACCACAGATTCCCTGAAACAGAACTTATGTTATAACATGATCCCAAGGGGTCTGTATACACATCAACTTGTATTCCCCTTGAGGCAGTACTGGCGAATCATATGCACATTAAGATCTAAGATGTTTTATTTAGAGCATCGGGCACCCAAGTTAGGTAGAAGTTCACTTTGAAATTTGCAGGGGAGGGAGATAGTCAAAAACTCTGCCCTGGAGAACACAGGAAGGCTGTAATTTATGTCAACAAAGTAGAGAAAAAAGGAAAAGTATTTTACCTGAGTAAAGCAGACTTGCATTTTATCCAGCTCACCCTGCCTGCCCCCTGAAAAAAAATCAACCAGAAAAGGAATAGGGCAATCTTACTTCTTTGTAATTGTCCATGCATATGACTTATTCTACACTTATTCTTTATTGCAAGGTTATGTTTCTTTTGCCTTAAACAGATTGGGGGCTGGGGCATCTAACATTTCACGAATCAGTATCTTAACACTAATATGACTGCAGAATAGAAACACACTCTTTTAAAAAGTACCTTGAGTTGCACAAATGATTTCTCCATCTTCAATAAAAAATTGAGGGAAAAGACATGGAATGTTTAGATTATCTAGTGATAATCCTGGCCTCTTAAGGTACAATTTAGAGTACCAATTGGAGTACAAATTACAAAAAGGGGAAACACAGATAAATTTGTAAACTTTCAACCTCCCCCTCCCCAATTTTGAATGCAAAAAAATGAACAGAGCAATCGGGACCTGCTATACAGGTTAAAACCATGCCAGGGCGAGCACACAGCCCAGACAAGCACAAAAACAGATGACACAATTTAATCAATTTTGAAAGGTGATCCTCCAAAATTCAGAAACTGATACATTTTTTAAAGCCAACTGTAAAAGGATTCAAGGATTCCTACAGAATAGTCACTGCAGATTCAAAAGATTGATTCCATGTCATGGAGTTAGTTATGACACTTTTTCTCAAAATGAAGAATGTGAGCCAAAAGGTCTGTAAGAATGTAGAATGTATGTAAGAATATTCTGTTTCTCAAATGAGCTGCCAAGGTCAGAGTCCTCAACTAAACTGAAGCTGAAAATACCATCATCTAGACATATGTAATATATATCACATATTTTCATATGTTTTTATACATATTACATATTACGTGTATACATTTACATGTTTGTGTATAATTTATGTACATATAAAACATGCAAGAGAACACATTTGAGTTGACACCATTGAAATCCATTTTAACAAAATCAGAACCAATGAAGCAGAAAAATCAAAAAGAGTGGATTGAATTGCCAAATGGCTGGAAACTCTTGTGCTATAATCTCACACTCTCATCTCAAGTATTTGGAGATGAGAAAACATGGTTATTATTTCTTAAGATGTTAAGATAGTGCACGTTGTCCCTCCTATCCATGGCAAACGGGGGTGAGGATGGCTGGAGGACAGAGATCATCTTGCCCTCCAAATTCAGTTCTAATACTTAATACTCGCCTATGCAAAAGCCAACAGGGATAGGGCTAAAAAGGAATGGAAAGATTTTTAAAAGTGGGAGGAATAAAATATAACTGGCATTAATTTAAAAACATGATCTACATAATCTCAAGGCAAGGGTTAAATCTATCACAATCAAAATGTAACTACATCCATGGTCATCTCAAGTTAATTCTTGGGGAGAATCTGATTGTAACAGTCTGTTCCTTTATGAGCAGGCGATTTTTTCAGCCAATTCTAAGGCAAGGCTAGGAAAGATTAGAACCAGGCCTCTCCAATCACAGCAGGGTCAGAGGTGACAGAGAGCCCTAGAAATTGACCTAAAATACTTTCAGTAAAATAGTGGGGAGTTGTGAGTCCCCTGGCCATACATACCCACCAAACCCTTCCTTGGGTCTTATTTCAACGCAGAGCACAGAAGCTCTGCCACTGTGAGAGTTCACTCTGAGCAGCCTAATTTGACTTCATTCTGCTTGGGCTTCTGTCCAATTGGCAGATGTCCTTGCAGAAGCTGATCTCAGACACTTTCCCTTTCTAATTTTTTGGCTCCGTTGCCTCTGTTGCATGGGATATCATCTCTGAAACTTTATCTTGGGTTCCCCAGGTTTTGCTTGTTTTGGAGCTTTGGTTTTCTCTTAAATCTTTCTCTTAAATCATGAACCCCAAAGACGTTCATGTGAAGCACTAAATCACTGGTAATTCCTTTGAGGCAAACATGAATTATCAAGTGACTTGCAAATTTCCAACCATTCCTTCCCTATTCCCCACCTCCCTCCAAAATGAGTAACTTCAGAACCAAAAATGCAAACACGAGGTAATCATCATGAATGCTGTACAAATGCACCATTTTCTTACAGGTTGGACTTTATAAAATGAAATGCCAGAGCTCTGATATTTATTATCTGAAATAGGTTTAACATTTGGAGAATTGTGTTCAAACACATAACCTTGGAAAGAAAAGCAAGCTGATCAGGGAACAGGCAGTGGGCAGAAAACATGATGGGCACAATTTTGATGTGTGTTGGGACAAATTTAGAAAACTGGGACCTTCTGAGCATAAAGAGCTCCCAAATGAGGTAAAAGCTAAATACAAATCAATTTCCAATTCTTCATGAGAGCCACTAGATATCAAATTTAAATATACATCACCACAATATTAATAACAAAGAAATCTTATGTTTTATTTAATACTTTGGCCAGACCAGCCCCTTTGAAGGGGTCACTACTTTAGGAAAGAAGAACAATAAACCATCATTCACTTTCCTGCAGACTCATCATTTCCTAATTATTTCTATTGGTCCTGCTTTATTCTTTCTGCAAATTAAGGGGTAGGAAAGTGTTTCTATATTAGATCAGCAATGTCTGGTTCTTATCCAAATATTCCACCTAAAAAGGACGTAAGTTCTCATGGACTGGACAACCTCTCTGCAACATTCCTGAGAATTGAATAATATAATAATCTTGAAAGTCAGCAGAGTGGATTATCCACTTTTTTTCTGGACTTGAACTTGTGACCTTAACAGTAGCACTGCAAAAAAGCAAATGTGCTAAGCACTTTGCCAGAGTAACCTTCCATGTAGACTTTTCATCTTAAATACACACAACTGGAAACAACTACAATTTTTGGAAAATTATGTACAAACCCAATACTTCTTTTGATTACATATAAATACAAATTAGCTATCTTTCCTAAAAAGTGGTTATAATAGTAAATAAATACAAAATAAATCTGACCATTATACTTCATGTGCTGGGGTTGAACCCATATAAAATGTACAACTAAATACATTTTAAAATCTTTAAGGAATAATTCTCTGATTAAAATATTTGTTTTCCCAACTTCTTTTTGTAGATATAAATATATTTTCAAAATAGCTGTGTGTTTTTTTCTCCATTCCATTCCATAAATAAAGTCTTCATTGGGAAATATTAAAGTGTCAACTTGTTTTTTTTTTTTTGCTTTTTTTCTAAAATATATATATATTTATATATATTTATTTTATTTTGCTGTGCTAACGACACCCACAACCCTCCACAACCATGTCCTGATAGTTCTTTAATACGACCTTTTCATTTTCATCAAGGTACAGCATGGAGATAGCACTGAGTTCCGTTGGTACACAGCACGCCTTAGGAATTTTAGAATTAACCGAGTTGACCAACGTCTGAACAATGGCATGATTAGTGGAGTTCAGGTGATCTGCCAGGGGAAAAGGGCATTCCCCATGGCAGTAAAAGGCATGGTACCCCGGGGGGGCTACGATCCAGTCATTCCACCCCACATCACTGAAGTCCACATACAAAGGGTGTCTCTTACAGCTGGACTTAAGGCGTTTGCGCTGTTTATGTTTTGCTTGACGCTTTTCTCTTTTGTGCAGAGGGTGCCCTTTCCCATCATGGCCAAAAGTTACTAGCAGTGGCCTGATTTGTGACCAGCTGTGCTCATCTTGGTGCAAAGACCTGCTAATCCTGACATGTCTCTTGGAGACACCTTGGTTCTCTTCCAAGTGGGTCACCTCCACCACAAATCCATGGTTGGCGAGTCCCTGTGCAGTCCACCTCATCACAGCAGGGGTGACGTCAAAACTCTCCCACCTGCTTGCGTTCTGATTCACCAACCTGGTGTCCAAAAGTCTGGTCATAGGAAACTTCAAGTTGGCTGCTGCAGGTTTTATAATTTCATAAATATTAATTCGGTGATGGAAACTGCTATTGTTTTCCAAAGTTTCCTGTATCTGTTCCCGAAAAACCTGAAGTTCTGCTGAGGTGATAAACTCATCGGTGGGGATAGAGGTTAAATTAAAGAAGAATCTCCGGGTTGTTTTTCCATTCACTTCTGGCAGTTCTTCCAAAGATTCTGATTTGATAGATAAAGGTGGAAAAGAAGAAAAAACTCATTCAGTAAAATAAGAAACGGCAATCTGATGATATATGAGAATTTGTATACCTCACTTCAGGGTTTGATTTAACCCATGTAAAAGTTTGCAACCAGAAAATAAAAGCTTCCCCTTTAGATTAAAAGGAATCCTCCTTTTTCTGTGTTTATGTCAACATGCACACAATGAAGCAAAACTTCACAATTCATTGTTACGTTTTTAATCCAATATGTGAATACTGCTTCCAGGTGGCTATAATAATGGGGGAAATGGTGAAGCATTTCTTTGGAATTCACAGACTTTAGGGCAAAAAAAAAAAAAGTGAGCACTATAGTTAGTAGAGGTCTAATGAGTGAGGATTTGAGGAAATTATTGCATTTCTTAAAAAGAAAAAGGCTTTAATGTCAATCCCTTAAGCGGTATTCTAAAACATTACTCTGCAATTTAGATGATTTACAAATCTCGATATACAGATTTCAGTTTCCTAATTAAAGAGTCTGAAACTCAACATCAACGATGACATTTTGCAAAGCACACCCTACTATTTTACTCCAAGTCCAGAGACAAAGGCATTTACAGGGACCGACTTCTTTGGAAGTGTAAGGGTGGTACTAAGACACCGTAGTAATTAAGGCCAGACAATTTCAAGAGAAGGAACTTCCCAACTGTTGTCTATTCTCTCACCTCCTTATGACCTCAAAAACCAAATCTCATTTTAGATACTTTTGGGGAAAAAAAGATCCTCTTCTGTTTTTAATTCCTTTGTCCTTAAAAAAAATAATAAACCATATTAAAAACATATACCTACCAAATGGCCACAAAAAAAATAAGAAAATTTACAAAAATACCATTATGATATTTGTGACATAAGGGATAATCTCATCCTATTACAGAATAAACATTCTATATTATCATTATTTCAAAGTAGCCATTTAAGTGGGCTATGCATTTAAGGTCTTTCTGATTTAAGATTGCTGAATTTAAAGTTTAAGAAGTAATGTTTTCCCAGCAAACAATATAACATAGCACCTTGAATGCTTTCATCTGCAAATCATCAAAGGTACACATTATCATTAAACTGGCAGTAAATAGCAATAGGATTTGAGACATTTGGGTTTATTTTTTTCTAGCTTTACCACATCCTGCCATTTCATTGTCTAAAAACTTAACCTGCTTCATTTAGGATCCAACCTAACTGCTACCAAAATCTATTTAGCCCTATTATTCTCAGAAGAAGAAGCCATATTTTTATTAACTTTATGGTTGTATTTCCCCTAAGTCAAATACCTGTAAGCTGAACACAGAGAATCTAGATGTGTTAGCAGAGGAGAATCACTTCAGATCACTCACTCAAAGGTTCTACTTGTGTAAACCTTCATTATCAAAGCACCAGTCGTCAAGGCAACCTAAGTGGAAGTGCCAAGTTCAAGAGGGACAGTTTACAAGAAATTATGGAGTAATGCGCTAATGTGATGCTTCTCAAATTTTAGTCTTCACACAAAAGTCCTAAGATACCTTCAAACTCCAAATGCAGATTCTGATTCAGTAGGCCTGGGTGGGACCTGAGATTCAGCATTTCTAGCCAACTCCCAGATGAGGCGATGCTGGCAGGTCATGGACTACCCCCAGAGGGGCAAGATTTTAAAGGATGCTTTTCACATTCAAGTGTAAATTCCAGGAGCATATTTTAAAGTGACTTTTGGTCAAATAATACAACAGTGAGGAGAAGAAACATTAGTGTTGGCCAAGGAGTAAGAGGTGAGTCCATGGGTGGGCAGCCAGGGACTTAGAACAGAAAGATCTTCCAGGGCCCATTACTCAGGATGTTGAGGCTATCAGGCTAAGAAGTAAACCTTCCGTGGTCCCCTCAGGCTTACTAATCTACACCTGTTAGGAATACCTTTGGGGAACCATCCAAACTTTAAACCTCACTCTAAGGTAATGGTACTTCAGGCCACGCACTATTTTCAACAACCAATCAGAGCAGCGCTCTTCTCAGTAGCTCCAAAACACATCAAGGACTGTGTTTAAGCTTCTTTCCTTCTTTCCTTTCCTCTAATTCAAGAGCCCTCTAATGTTTCCAATAAAGGCATTCTTTCAGCAGAGAAGCCAACAGATACCAAAGAAAAAAGGAGTGACATAAAAATCAGCAATGTCCCCCAGATGTAATGACATAAGTCCAGACCTGGCTTGAGCTACTGACTTCTTTGATAGCCAACACACCTAAGAATGCTCTCTTTTCTTTTAAAGAGGGAGAAGAAAAGGCAAATTATTCAGGGCATTTGCAGAACAGCTGTAATAAGAAGGTGTCCAGAGAAATAACAATTGCAGCAAAAACTCTGAATCAAAATCCATAAATGAAAAAGAAGGAAGTTATGAACAGACACAAGGACACAGAGACACACTCACATACACACCCAGTGGATGATAATGAAGGGGCATTCACCAAGAGCAGCAGGAAAGATAGGTAAAATGAATAAAGATGGGTATAGAAGAGGAATAAAATAGAATAACCCTCTCGAAGATAAATGTAAGGCTGAATCATATAAAATTGCCACCATTTGGCCAGATTTGACAGAAAAAAAAAAGAAAACAGCAGTTTCATGCACTTCAAAATCCCACTGGAGGTTAAATGGCAAAAAGGATATCACTTAGCAGCCTTATCAAAGGGAAGAATTGCACTATTAAACAGCAGTAATGTGAAGTAACGTGAAGACCTTTCTCTGACTTTCCAACTTCATCAAGAACCCCTATTTGTCCTTAATACAAAGGACACTGTGGTGATGCCCCTGTGGATTCAGGTCACAGAGGCAAGTCAGAAGCTCACAGAAAACCCCAAACCAAGAAAAAAAAAACTGTTCACATTTAGGGCACCTACCACCATTTCCTTTGATCTGCAAGGAATGAATTTCTTCTTGAGGGTAGAAAAATCGAAACCTATTTCAAATAAAGTAAAATAAAGGGGAAAAAAGCTGCAAATCACCATACCAACCCTAGAGATTCTGAAAATATAATAGAGCATTTACCCAGGTAGGTGCTATATGTTTTGGAGGCTTATATAGCTGTTAATTCTCTATAAATAACCTTTGTTGAATAAGCTGAATTTGTCAAGGGCTCTGGGTATTCTGGTCTATTTTAGACCTGAGTTCCTACCTCTAAGTTCTTATCTAAACATACAGAGCTATGGCTGCAAAAAAAAAAAAAAAAAAAAAAAAAAGTGGAGTTAATAAAGAAAAATAAGGCACCAGTGACAAGTGATCTCTCCTCCAAAAGTGAAGTTTTAACTTAATCATATGCACTGTCAATTATTCATCTACTTCAAAATAACACAAAAGAGGAGACTCAATTCCCTCAGCCAGCCTGGGTCCCCTCTGGCTTCCTCTTCCCTAGACAAGGAGGAATATAGGACATAAGCGAAAGAAATCATCATGATAATGTAATTAGTGTCCTTAATGCTTTTGTGCCATATCTGGCACTAAGATCTTTTACATGAATTATCTCACAACAAATCACTTAGAGAGGACCTTTTACTATCTCCATTTTGGAAATGAAACAGTTGGAGCTCAGAAAGGTTATATGACTTTCCTAAGGTCACAGAGCTAGTAAATGAAGAGCAGGGCTATGAGCTTGAGTCTACTGTAGTTCCCAAGTTTCTGGCCACTAGATGACACTACCTAACATGAGGGAAGAGTCAAAAACTCAAGCAGAAGTCAAAGCCATTAGGGAAACCTTTATATTTAATACAATAATAACCATAGGATGAGATCTTTCCCAACCAAAGGGATACAAATATACTACCACTCAAGTATGGTGGAATCAGAAAGAACTAAAGATCAGGAAAGTAAAGTAGCAGAGCCCACTAGGATATGCAGATCTATTTGGAACCACTGATATTTTGTGGCTGTCTTTTTGTCCTAAAAAATGAAGAGTTTTAGCAAAAAGTGAGTTATTATTATGTTTTGAGAAGTCTGCAACACTCTTTGGACAAAAAAAGACCATTAACCTGGGGATGCTATAGCAAATCAGGAAGGTTGGAAATCACTACCCTTCAGTCAAAGTGGCTGAGAATAAGAAACACTACTTTCTAAAATATAAAATAATTGCTAGAGAATTGATACATGAGAGAGAAAAAATATGTAAGATAAAAACGTTAAAAGGAAACAGTCTAAAAAAAGATAACAAAAGAAATGACAAATACAGGAAAAGTATGGTATTGACCCTGACTTGGCTTCTGCCCACCCTTAACTCCAACACCTTTGGAATGATCATGTGCCTTCTTACTGTCTTCTGACTACTTGGTGAAATACACAAAGGGCAAGTCTAAAAAGAAAAAAAAAAAAAAGACAAAATAGCTTAATGAGAAGGGATCAAGAAGAATACAGAGGAACCACTAAAAGAGCCGTGGACACAAAATATTAGTATAAGAACAATCACTGGGCACCAGAGCCTCAATCTCCATGAGGATTTCCAGAGAGAATGCCTGTTCGACTTGATAGGGACTTTCTTAACAACACTGAAATACCTGGGGATCCTAGGAAAGCACATCAGGTAAGCATTGGTTTGTGGGGTATACCTGGCCAAATCTTTTGCTTACACTGGGAATTTATGATACAAGTTCTCTCTCATAGGGTAGTGGTTAGATATATTTTCATGATAATTACATTTGTGGTAAAAGGGCTAATCTCTATTTGAAGGCTTTAGTCATAGAAGCAAATAATTCCTTTGTTTCAGGCAAAAAGAAGTCTGTGTCCTTCTGGGTGTAGAGAGTAAGCACATGGTCCTTCTATATTCCATCCTGACAGGAAAGCATAGAGACCTTTTCACAGGGCCAATGAAAGCAACCAATTTCAACGTGTTTTTAACTACAGCAAGCACAGAACACTCTTTCCAGTTGGAGAAGTGATTTTTCTATCCTCAGTGGCAATAGTGCAAGATCTATGTGGCCAAAGCACTTTTTAATGACTGAAGAAAAGAAAATTATTGCAGCACTTGGGCTCTCCTGAGTGAAAAGTATTGTACAGAGGACTAGGCCAAATTTAATAGGAGAAATGACAACTGGTAATTTTTGTCTCTTACCATGTAGTCCCATTATCTTCATACAGTGGTTGAGATCTGATAACCGTGATATCTCTTGTGTTGTAAGTTCACCAAATCACCCAGATCCCACCCACAAATAAAAGCAACAGGTAATTCTTGGAATTGGGCCCTTACTCCTCTACCAAACAAATGCCCATTAAGTCTGCATGAGCCAAGTTCTGCTTTTAAGCCAGCTGCCTTAATCTCATGGTTTATTAGAAGATTTTTGGTGCTATGCACAGCACAAGGATGTTTATAAAAAACAAATTCTGGGTTACACAAAAATGAAATTGGTCTTCAAAAAGTGCATTATGTGGTCTAATGGTGATATACTAGTCATAACAAAAAAAGAAATGGATTTGATGAAATGTGAGGCAAAAATTACGTGGGTTTTCTGTATCATCTAACTGCATTAAGATCTGACGTTACTGTAACTTGATTTTAAGCAGGTTGGTAACTTCTGTATTATTTTGCACATAACACTTATGCTTTTAAAGATGTAAATGTTGACTTATAAACTCAAGCATGCTATTTAAGCTAAAATAGCACTCAAATAATTTGCAGCCTGTTCAGTTTTGATCAAGCTACTTTCAGAGGAAGAAGGAGAAAGGCACAGACTTCACTGATGGAATCCTGCAACTAAATGTTTTAGGTGTCAAGTGACTTAAATGTTCTTCCTTTTAAATTAGAAGAGGCACAGAATACCTTCTTCGCCTTAAAAATAAAGTTAAGAATGATTCCAGGCTAAATGTCCAGGAGAGGTGGCTGAAATAGCTATTCTTGTTACTTTTCTATGCAGAAAAACAGTTCAAATCAGCGTCAGCTGGGAATGGAGAACTGTATCTATATAGTCATCCCAAGATTATGTTGACAGAATGTACAGGAGTGAAAACATTTCTACGTAGGACCACAGACAACTTTCGCTTCAATGAATGACTCCTGAGGGAGTAGAAGGCTATCTTCTGTCTTTTCTCATCGGATCGCTACTGCAAAAAGCACCTCACTTGGAAATGTGCTGGAAAATGAACTGATTATCAATTCAGTGTCCCCTTCAGAACATACAGCTGCTTTGATGAAGTACCTTTTGTTATGCAACTTGCCTTTGGGACTTCTTCCCAATGCCAAGTGTTGTTCTCACAAGCCAAGGGTAGTCACCCTTCACACTGGCAGAAAAGGCCTGGCTGCAACATTTATTTGTTTACAACAGATCATAGGTTTCCACTTGAAATTTACCACCTCAAAAGACAAGAAAAAGGGAACTTTACTCCCAAGTCTCCAATAACCTACAGGTGGCTGCTCTGTGATATACAGCTTTGGACCATTCCCTAGTATCTGATGAAACCTGTTCTCTATTTGGAATGTATTAAGCCAAAGGGGCATTTAAAAGTGTAGAGAAAGAACTAAAGTGGAACATATTTTTAACTAATTGATCTAACCTGGGTACAACAGATGTCAATAGCTGCTCTAAGACATTTCAAATCCACTAAATGTTTTTCTGATGAAACAAGCAGAAATATCCTACCTTAGGAAAACCACATCCAGTATCATAAAAGGAAAAAAAATCCACATTTCAATGCACATGGAAAAAAAAAAAAAACAAAAAAAACAGGCAGCTGCTGCAAAAGCTTTTATCTGAAGGCTTGCCTTGTCTCTACCAGGGAGTTCATCTCAGATTTAAGCACAAAACAAGAAAGTCATTGTGGAAACAATAAGATTGATTGTGGGATTGATCTCCCACGGGGATTAGATAGGGATTCGAAATCTTCCAAACCAGGCCCAGATCAACTGTAAATTAGAAAGACTTTGGGGCCCCGGGCTTTGATTTTTCAATAGTATCTCTGAAAATTCTGCCCTTGGCTGTGTCTGGCCTGAAACCCCCGCCTAGGCAGGGAAAGCAGATTTACAGGGCAAGGACTTCCAAACAAACTTAAAGAGATCCCAATCTGCCCCCTCCTTTTCATTCTTCCCCTATGAAATTCTTGCACGTTTAGCTGACTAGGGGCATGCCTTTTGCCCTCATCTTCCCCATCATTTGATTTCTCTCCAGTTACTGGAGGAGGAGTCGCTCTTCTGGCTGCAAGCCAGGAAAAGGGTGCGGATTTACCAAAGGGGAATCCCTGGCTCCCGAACCACACAGGCAGTGCGTTAAAGCCAGGTTCCGAAAGGTTCTTACGAAGTCAAGAATGGAAACGTCTGCGAAGTCCTGGCCAAGCTGCCTTTCCAGGGATGCCAACACTCAGCCCACGGTGGGGAGCTTTGGGAGGTGACTCTCCGCCCGCATCTCCGCCCCCGCTCTCTGCTCCACGCCTCACCTTCGTGGTGGAAACTGCGCACGGTGTTGGCGAGGCTGGCTGCCCTCTCCAGCCGGTGGTCGGGGACGGGGGCGCCCGCCTGGCCCGAGTGCCGGCGATACAGGTCCAGCATGTAGGGGGGCACCACGGCGTCCCTGCTGGGGGTGGGTCTCCGCTTCAGGCCGAACATGCTGAGCAGCCGCAACTCAAACTCACTCAGGACTTCGTCCGAGGGCTGCGACGAGGAGCGGCCAGTGGATGCCGCGAACTTCCTCCGGCCCAGCTCGGGAATGAGGCCGGCCGCGCCGCCCAGGAGGACCTGGGGAAGCAGCAACGCTAGAAGACAGCGGGTCCCGGCCACCATGGTCGACCTGTGGACAGGGCCGACGTGAGTCACCGAGTTCCCCGCCCAACCCTCACCCCTTCCGCCCCCGCGTCCCCCGGCTCCCGCTCGATCCGTTGCCTCCTCCTCCAGGGTGCCCACTTGGTTTGCAACACTCGTGGGGATACTTAAAAGGGGCTGAAGCTTGAACGTTTGGGAGAATGAAAAACCCCGAGTTCCTGAGCCTGAAGGCTTTTCCTCTTTCATCCTACTCTCACCCCGTCTGACACGATTTGCGCGCGCGGGCGTGCGCGCGCGCGCGCGCGCACACACACACACACACAGAGTCGATGACTGTCACCTTTTTTCTGTGACACTGGTGCTGACACCCAGTGCAGGGACCCTGGGGAAACCACCGCTTGGTCTGACATCTCTCCGTTCCCTAAACAAACCAAAACACATTGCCCAGCGTTGGCTCGCATATAAACAGGCACTAATGGTGCATGTGACTTCCTTAAAGGCACTGTATAGAACTTCCTGATACACACACACACACACACACTCACACACATACACACAGAGAGTCTATGACTTCCAGACCCAGTTAATTCAAGGCCACAACTTTCGAAGCCGCTTGCAACTTATGGCCCCCACCTCTAAACCTCAGAGGTGTCAGGACAGGCCACTCCAACCCCGACCTCCCCTCCCCCATGCAGTCAAGATACACATGTATATTCTTGGAATTACGTAAATAACTAACATCTATCAATTTATGTATGAGTAGAAAGTGACATTGAAGTACTATCCCCCTCGCATTCCTGGAAACAAACAGGGAGAACCCCAACTTCTAGTATTTTCCTAAATGGGACTTGGCTCTGAGTAGAGAGCAGGTCTCCGTGAGAAATTTGAAGGGAGAAAAGACGGCCATGGTAGGGTGTAAAGGTTGGCAACGAACGGGTGAAATCCAGGGGCCACCTTCTCGAAGGCATTTCTTTGACTTTTTTTTTTTTTTAATCATTTAAATGTTAACAGCCCTAATAAAATACTGAAAAGAGGGAAGGGAGGAGGGGCGGAAGAGTGCGAGCCAGGAGGGCCAGGCTGACGGTCGCCGGGGGCGGTAGGATGTGGGCATCCCCGCAGGGGCTCGGCAGCACGTGGACCTGGAGGGGTCTGTTTACGTCCGGCCAGGCCCAGCCCCCGGACGGGCACATCTGCGGGGGCCTCCTGGGCCCCGCGCCCAACCCCCCCGCCGTAGCTGGGGTCCCACGTCCTCTACCTTTAGGAGACCGCAGACCGTCTAAGAAGCACGCGGGGACACGTCCATTGAAAGAGCCTCCACATGGAAAAAGCTCTGGTCGGAGGACCTGGCGCAGGGACCGGGTTCCCTTCCTTTGCCACCTCCTCCTCCCGGGTGCCGGCGGGGCAGTCCTTCTCGCGCAGGGAAAGGCGTCTCGGGGTCGGGCCCAGCGGAGTAGTGAAGTGGCGCGGGGTTCAGAGACCGCGAGGCTGGGTCCGCTGGGGTAAAGGCACCGGCGCTAAGTGGGGAGCGTGAGCTATTCTCCCTGCAAGTTCAAGAAGTCTCCAGCCAAGTGCTGACACACAGCAACAGCGAGCAGGGGGAGGAGTGCGGGGAAGGGAAGGGAAGGGAGAGAGGAAAGGCTGGTGCTGTCGTTGTCCTTAGGAACCAGCGCCCGCGGGACGCGTGGCCCCGCGCGGAGCCTGTTGCGGCACTCGGGGGGCGAGGGTCTGGCGCTCGGCGCTAGCTCCGCCGCGGCCCATGGCTCGGGGCAGCCATCCTGGGAGACGCCGGGTCCGGGCAAGGGCGCAGCGGCGATCTCGGTGCCGGGAGAGTTGCCCCCCCGCATCACTCTGCCTTACTCCAGCGCACCCCCATTAGCGCTAGCCAGCTGAGACCCCCGCGGCTCCGGCGCTCCGGCGTCCTCGGGCGCATTCTCCGGCGAGTCGAGCCGAGTCCCGGGCCGCCAAGGCGGGTGGCCGCGCTCTCCCCTCACTCTCCGAGCCCCCGGGCCAAGCTGCGGTGCGCTTTGTGGCCAGCCCGGGGTCCGCTCACACGTCGGCGGGCGCGTCGCAGGCCCCCAAGCTCCGGCAGTCGGGGATCGGCATCGCGGCACTAGAGCTCGGCTGCCGGCTCCGCGGCGCTGTGCGCGCCGGTCCTCGGCTCCGGCGCGGCCCGGGCAGCTGAGGCCACGGCGCAGTGGCGCGCACGGCCGGGCGCTCCAGCCCGCGCGAGGTCTGCGGCGCGCTGGTGCCTCTGAGCCCCCAGTAATCCGCGAGACGTTGGCCGCGAGGTCGTTCGGGTCGGTGGCGGAGCCTGTGGCGGCTGATGTCCGGCGGCGGCTGCCAATCCCCGGCGGGGTGTGGGAAGCGGAGCGGCGGGCGCAGCGCAAGCCGGGCGCAGCGCGGCGGGGCGAGGACTCCGGCGGCGGCGGCGGCGGCGGCGGCGGCGCCGTGGCGCGGCGCTCGCGGCTTTTAAAGGGGACGCAGCCTGCCGTCTCCCTCTCCGCGGAGGCCGAACACCTCCCCCTCGGTGGCGCGGCCCGCCGGGGATCCCCGAGCGGGCGGGAGCGGCGCGCAGGGGTGTGGACGGCGCGCCGGGGCAGCCGCGGCGGGGTGGGGCCGAGGGCGGGGACGCGTGGCCGCCGAGGGGGGCGCTAGCGCCTCCAGCCCCTGCCCTCAAAGGGGAAAGTAAATGGAACGCCTGGACATTCTCTGGGACTGCAGGGGCGAAATTCGGAACAAACACGGGGTCGAGTCTTTATTTCCCACCTGGCCCGTTATTCAAGTTTCAGTTTGAAGTTTTTCGATAATAGACGATTTTTAAAAATATTTAAAGACCTTAACCAAGTTACAAGTCATCTTGACATAGGCTTGGGTAGACACTTCTGTGTTTCCCCAGGGTAGGAGAATTAAAAGAAAACTGGAGATTGCAAACTAGGTGTCATTTAAACTTTAACACATACTGATATGCATGTGTACATATGCAAATGCATGAGTACGCATTTAGATTTACATATGTATACATTTATGTTTATGTAAATGCACTATTTTATTCAGATGTAAATGTAATATACAAAAATGTTCGCATATGTCTCTATCAATATATGCATATATGTAAATGTGCTAACGAAAGCATATTATACCTGTACATGTGAAATGGATGTCATCCTGCGGTACATTTTGGCAAGGCTGACCCTTGTGTGTGTGGTGGTGTGAAGACAGGATATTATTTCTTTTTATGGTAGACATCACTTCATGCTTTGTGATATTTATCTTGCCCAGCTCAACAAGACAATCAGCAGCTCAGAGGAAGGTAAAATAATGCGCAGTGTGAACCAAGCACACAAGACTATTCTGGTTTGAGACCTTAGAACCTCTGACCCACCAGGACCCAGCAGCAAGTATATCACATATGGTCAAGTCATTTGTCTCCCTCAGCTGAATATTCCCCAAATCTACTGCACCATGGCGACTCGAGTTTAAGGCTTTCTGTCCCTCCCAGGATTCCAGGATCCTCCATGCATAACACATCCAGGTTGCCCAAATGATCCCAGAAACCAAACGCAGAAAATTTTTGGAAAAGACCAGATCAGCAAAATCAAGTCTGCCTTCACAGAACCTCTAGCCTGCAAAGCAGAAAAAGTCTGAAGCAGGAGCTCATAACAGCGTATTATCCATGTGTATTATTTTTTCAGTTGGGAAGCTAAAATAATTCTAGGTTCTGCTCACGTAAATCGGATTAGCAACCCACAGGGGAATTAGGCACTTGCTGTTTCTGAAAGTATAAAGGTCAAATAAGGTATTTCAGAGGAAGCCTGCCTACTAGGAAAATAAATGGGGTGGGGGAGGGTAAAATATTCAGGAACGTGCTACTTTTTTCACCCTGAAAATAAAGTGCTATGAAAGCTGATTGTCCCTTGAATCATTGGCCACCAAACAAGTCAGCAATAGAACACATTCTACTGATAGACACTGATGTTAAAAAATGTTTATTGTGCCTCCAAAGCGATTTCCTTCCATATCAAGTTTAACTGAGAAGTTAACAATTGTTTCTGTCATAAGTGAGATTTAGAAAACAAAACAGGACTTAAGAGACCTGAATCAGTACGTAGCTTTTAAAGAGGAGGGAAAAGATGATGGCTGTTGGCTGTTCCTAGAGTGAAGATGGAAAATAAATCTCCGGTGATGACATCAAGGATGTCCTGCAGCTTCAGGCCTTCAACTTTTGAAACAGGAACCTTGTCGGTTTATGAAATAATCTTCGATAGTCAAGACTCTGAGAGAAAATGGATACTTCTGGACACTCAATTCTATTTCAGCGTTGCCCATCACAGGATCTCTTTTATGTGTGATTTCTGAGATATAGGATTTCTGAGAGGCTACTGAATGCCTTTCTGAAGCACAACTTCCTAAATTTTGGCCTTATGTGTCCAAGATCCAGGCTCTCTGGTTGTTTTTTAGAGATGGCTGCCCTCTTGTGGTGGAAATGAGTTCCAACTCTCGGGAGAAAAAAGTCCATAAGTAAATAAGTAAATAAATAAATAAATAAATAAATAATCTCCACAGGCTAAATTGGGGTACAAACTACAGGGTAATCATACCTGATCATTTTCCAAGCAAGAGAAATAATTAAAAATTATAAATATAAATGGAGATAACCTAACCCTCCTTTTATTCTCTCCAGTAGTCACCATCCACCTGTAACTCAGAATACAAGGTTACTTCTGGTACCAGTGTCTGTGTGCCTTGAACATATCACTTACTACTAGCTGTGGCCACCCCTACCTTTTTCAAAGGTTCATTATAAGTTTTTCAGCCCATTAGGTAAGATTCAATCTTTGTGGGTGTATCAAATTTGGTGTACCTGCCAAATGTGGGGAGTGGCCAGAGTGGGAGTGTGGAATTGTTTGGGGGAAAGGCTGATGGTAGTTGCAAGAGTGCACAGGCAAGCTATGTTAAAAAACAAAAACAAAACAAATGAAACAAAACAAAAAAACAAAGCCTACCTACCAGGTAACAACTCT